TTTTCCCTATAAAACATTTTATTTTCACCCATTTTCCACTTTTGCAATCAAATGCACCCATAATGAAATACACTCGGGTAAATATGAAAACCATGACTTTAAAACCAATAAATAACATGTGAATATATAACGAATCAGTTACCAATTTACCACTAAACAACTGCTGCATGTTACCTTCTAGAATGACTTAATTGCCCCCAAAGCTTTGAAGGAAATCTATAAATACTCTCGCCTAAGAAGAGAAAATAATGCAAAATTCAAATCTCCTTCCTAAATAGGAATTTCCCCTTTTGCCTTCAGTTTAAGCATCAAAATTAGTGAGTATAGGAAGAGATCGTAATTTTACCGTCAATAATTATCATTCATAGTTTTATAATGTATTTGTTATTTATAAAATTAGTACTTTGGTCAAAGTTCTAAAATATTTTATGATATCAGAGGAGTTAAGAGAGATCTAAGTACAAGTCTCACTGCGACCCATTTATTATGCATGTTTCAGGCATTTGATAAAAAAAAAATTTGGCCTACACATGTGGCGGCACTTTGAAGACCAAATTTAAATAATTAAATGTATCCTCTTTCCTAACGGTTTAAGCTTTTAGATAATGAAATTGCAAGTTTTGGGTTTTAGAGAAGCTAGAATGTGTATAAATTATCTTCCTCTTTTGGATGCTAATAGAATGCTCGACCTTGTATCCAAAACCACCTTGAGCACTTCTAATTGTTTGAGTGGTTGGATCAGGTTAAAGGTAAGGCAGCAATTGACGTTGTCTGCAATCCTTTGGGGAAGTCGGGAGGTGCTCTGATTCAACAGTTCATGATATTATCCTTTGGGTCACTCGCAAATTCAACTCCATATCTAGGAGGTGTACTCCTCGTGATTGTACTTATATGGTTAGCGGCAGCCAGGTCTTTAGATGGCCAGTTCACTGCACTGCGGCAAGAAGAAGAACTTGAGAAGGAAATGGAAAGAGCAGCTGTCAAGATCGCGGTTATTTCTCAAAATGAAAATGGAGGCAATAGCTCTCTTGCTAGTGGGTCGACAATAAATCCTACTGAAGGTGACTCTGCGAAAACATCATCTGAACCCTCGTCTCCTCGAAATGTGTAAGATTATTATCCCATAACTTGCAAAACAGGAGGGTAAGGAAAGGTTGAAGAATTTGTTAGATGGTTTGGTAATAGATAGGATTTACTATTATAAATTCTTGGATTAGTTTTGTTGTAAGATTCTTATTTTATTTTTTTTAATAACGGGAACCAATAGGCTTATCATCGACTTAAGCCATCATTTCGAGTCTTCTACAGGCGTAATATGCATATTTTATTTATTTCATTTCACGAAAATTGTTGTAGTTTACTCTCTTTTTTCCTTCAAAGCAGTCCCTTTTTAGCAAAGATATAATAGTTGGTACACAGGTATATGCTTTCAAAGCCATATTACGTTTTCTCATATGAGCGCTTTTAATCCGCAATTCCTAATCCTCAAATTTTGCTGACAGTATAATATTTAGAGTTTTGCTGCATGCATAGGGCCAACTGGCTTGTCCCCCTGCCATAAGGGAGTTGAGATCTGTTTAATTTGCTGTCCATTCATTTAATTATTGACACATCATTTTTAAATTAACATGTCACCTCAAATTGAATCTCATCGACTTCATCACTAACCCATTAAATTTATGACATGTTAATTTCAAATGATGTATTAATAATTAATTGAATGAACATCAAATTGGACATCGGATCTCAATTTGCCATGGGGACAGGGGAGGCCAGTTGGCCATGGCCAGGTAGCACAAGCACATCCCTAATATTTAACGTCTTTTAGTGATACTTTGTCACTTAATGGTATCCATAACTCAATCTACAACGGGACCATCATACGCTCTCTCTCGGCTTCACGGGCTGACCGCGCTATTCAAACACATTGTGTCTAGGTAAATCATTGTAATTTCATTTTATTCAAATTATGTCTTAAATTTCTAATTGATTTAGCAGATTTGATAGTTCTAGAAATAGAATCGAAATTTTTTCAAACACTTTTCAAGATGAAAAAGAAACTGATCAAGATCATGCATATGCATCAATAGATTCATTCAATTCTCAGAACTTCAAATTGCAAAAATTACATCAAACCATAAGAATTATATTCATCGAAAATTATAAGAGGAGAAAAATATGGGACTTGACTAATTTACCCTTTTAAATATTATTGGCAAATTCAATGGGGACCATTTCTGCAAATTACCATAAGGTTCTAATGGATGATTTAACGGTTCATGGATTGAAGGACCAATTTCGCCAGAAACGTTTGAAATAAGGGTACAAATGCCTATTTTAAAACGTCAGGGACCATTTTAACAAAGAGTGTAAACGTTGTGATCATTTATGCTAATTACCCTTTCCTAGGCAAATTTTATTCCTTTGGGGCTGATTTTACTTTCCCTTCTGAAGAAATAGAAGAGTCATACTTTTCGTAAGAGGTGATCTTTTTAAATTTTTTCCAGCTCTTTGTTATTTGGAGTTTTTCCCCCAATATTTCCCAATCATTAGAAGTTTCTTCCAGATAGTTTATAAAAACAGACAAGCGCACTGGAAGCTTAGAATAAAGTTGGACAAGGATAAATAGAATTTATTTACATTTACAATAATTCTTGTAAAATTTAAATAAAGCAGGCAAATGATTCATTGAAGTCCCAAACTAAGGGCTTGCGACGTGGACCAATATGAGTTGTTCGATCCGTAAATTTGGGTAGATTCATATTGAAAAGTCAAATGTCCGGAATCCATTGATGATTTAATGATGCGTTTATCAATTATTTTTATAGACTTCAGAATTTGAAACTTCCAATTCTCAATGTTGAATGTTTACCTATATGTAACTGTAGCTGTCTTTAGTTTGCAATATCAGGTTATACTCACTCATCCTTAGGTGATATATATGCACTACTGATTTTATGAGAACTTTGCCTAGAAACGACTATTGAATTGATTTTAAAGATGACGAATCACTCTTTTTTGCATATGGTTTCTCCTTTCTATAAATTTTTTTTGTATGTAGAACCTAAGTTATAAACTTTAAATGCCTCTTTAAATTTGAAAACGAGATGCATGAACTATTGTATGCAACTTCCAAGAGTATTATGAACTAGTTACTGGTATGATCGCAGCACACTTTCTTTAGCTCTCGTAATCAGCAGTCATGGTGATATTGACAAGTTTCAAATACCAAATGATCAAACGCCGGCTCAAAACGCTTTCAAAGGCGAACATCTATAACAGGTATAAAATTCGCCATACGGAGATCTTCGTTTAAGCTGTTTCTTATATTTTCTTAATATAAATCTAATGATTTTGTAATCTCTTGTGCGTCTTTTCAATCAGCAAACTCGTGTTATACACCATACAGTTATGTTGTATTCCAAGTCTCTTACTTCTCATTCAATGTTCTCAGGGATATGATATTTATCCCGTTGATTCATTGAACTTTGTACAGGTTTAACAGTTATATCCAGCAAACGTGAAGCTTGCTTATATGGATACTGCTAACTTGGCCACAAGGTTCTTAAATGGTACGAAATTTGATTAGATATATCAATATCAAGAATACAGAACATAATATTAATANATAATAGTTGGTACACAGGTATATGATTTCAAAGCCATATTACGTTTTCTCATATGAGCGCTTTTAATCCGCAATTCCTAATCCTCAAATTTTGCTGACATAGTATAATATTTAGAGTTTTGCTGCTTGCATAGGGCCAACTGGCTTGTCCCCCTGCCATAGGGGAGTTGAGATCTGTTTAATTTGCTGTCCATTCATTTAATTATTGACACACCATTTTTAAATTAACATGTCACCTCAAATTGAATCTCATTGACTTCATCACTAACCCATTAAATTTATGACATGTTAATTTCAAATGATGTATTAATAATTAATTGAATGAACACCAAATTGGACAGCGGATCTCAATTTGCCATGGGGACAGGGGAGGCCAGTTGGCCATGGCCAAGTAGCACATGCACATCCCTAATATTTAACGTCTTTTAGTGATACTTTGTCACTTAATGGTATCCGTAGAATTTAATATTTATCTTTATTTACTAGTGACTATTATTATAACAGTTCACAGAGTTATTATTGTAAATCGTATAAAATAACTTTATTGATTAATAGCCAATTACTCAAAAGTCAACAGCCATTGACGTAATTTGATTGCATAACTGTATACAAAGTTTACACACTTATCGTTTTTTTGTAGAACAATTGTTTTCTAATATATATATATATATATTGATTGTACTATTCTAGGTACAGTGTCAAATGAGAAGTTGATTACCCTGGAGCTTGTTGAATAGCGTCAGTCAGCCCGTGAAGTCGAGAGAGAGCGTATGATGGTCCCGTTGTAGATTGAGTTAGATTTGGACTATTCCAAACACAGTGTCTAGGTAAATCATTGTAATTTCATTTTATTCAAATTATGTCTTTAATTTCTAATTGGTTTAGCAGATTTGATAGTTCTAGAAATAGAATCGAAAAATTTTCAAACACTTTTCAAGATGAAAAAGAAACTGATCAAGATCATGCATATGCATCAATAGATTCATTCAATTCTCAGAACTTCAAATTGCAAAAATTACATCAAACCATAAGAATTATATTCATAGAAAATTATAAGAGGAGAAAAATATGGGAATTGACTAATTTACCGTTTTAAATATTATTGGCAAATTCCATTAGGGACCATTTCTGCAAATTACCATAAGGTTCTAACGGATGTTTAACGGTTCATGGATGGAA